GGGGCATCAGGCAGAGGCAGTTAGGGGTGATCGGGCAGGCAGGCAGGCAGGAGAGTGGTAAGGAGCCAGAGGTCCCAGATTGCGAGAGGGATGTCTAACTGCTGGTTTAGGACCAATCCCGGGATCGGGCCCTCTCTTTCTTACAAGCATACACATGGCCCCAGAGAGAATGTATACTAAATTGGCAGTCGGACATCCCCAGAGGGGTCCCAGATTGGAGAGGGTGCAGGCTGGGCTGAGGGACCCACTCCCCATGCACGAATTTTGTGAACCAGGCCTCTAGTCTATAATAATAAAAGTATAATATGCTCATTGGACTGAACAGCCAAATGACAACCTTCTGAACATCCTTCCGGACGACCTTCCAGACGAAGCCGTGGCTGTGAGGGCCAAGGCCCTTGCACGAATTTTGTGCGTCGGGCCTCTAGTTGCTGCATAATGAATTACCTTAAAACTTAGTGAGTTAAAACATTTATCTCATAATGTCTGTGGGCAGGAATCCAGGAATACTTAGCTTGGTTCTCTTCTTCAGGGTCTCTCACAGACTGCAATCAAGGTGTTAGCTGGGCTGAGGTCTCTTCTGAAAGCCGAACTGGGAAAGGCTCCACTTCCAAGCTCATGTGGTTGTTGGTCGGACTCAGTTCCTGACTGGCTGTTGGCCCTTGTTACACAGGCCTCTCCACAGGGCAGTGGGGGCGGTTGTGTTAAATGTAGGCACTTTCCCCCAAATACTTCTCATACCTGCCTTTTCCATTCATCTTTTGAAAATGTATTTAAAATAAATTCTTAATTTCCTAAATAATACCTGAATATATTTAGGTAGGCCTTGTAAAGATTGCAGCACTGCTTCATCCTGGCCCCCAGCTCCTCACTCTGCAAAACCAGCACCTTCCTTCTGGTGAAGAGACTTCTAGCCCTTCCCTCTCTTTCTTTTTTTAATATATACATATTTTGTTAATCCTCACCCGAGGATATTTTCCCATTGACTCGATGTGAGAGAGACACATCGATGGGTCGTCTCCTGCATGTTCCCTGACCAGAGCTGGATGGGCCAGGGAGGAGCCTGAAACCGAGGTACATGCCCTTGACTGGAATCGAACCCAGGACCCTGCATTCCGCAGGCCGACGCTCTCTCCACTGAGCCAAAGTGGCCAGGGCCTTCCCTCTCTTTCTTACAAGCATACACATGGCCCCAGAGAGAATGTATACTTACGCATTTTTTAGGAGCTACATACACACATCCCTCATGGATTATTTCCTGCTGTGTGCATTTTTCTGCATCTCTCTTGTTTTCGTCTAACAGTATGACCTGGAGATGATTCCATTCTTTAACAGCCACACGGTATTCCACCATGAGAGTGCTCCCTGTGTGGGCCTCTGTCCCCACCTCCTTGTGTGTATGCCTGCCATGACTGTAGGCTAAACTTAGTGACTCGCTTCTAACAAACAGAATAAGGCAGAGGTGAGGGGGTGTGACCTGGACATAATCACAAAAGGCAGGGTTCAAGAGGTCCACATGGAGAGGAACTGAGGTCTCTTACCAACAGCCACATGAGGAAACCAGCTAGCAGGGGCTCCTCCAGCCCCAGTCAAGCCTTCAGATAAAGCAGCCCTAGCTGATGTCTTCACTGTGACCTCATGAGAGACACTAAGCCATAACCACCCAGCTATGTCATTCCTAGATTCCTGACCTACAGAAACTCCGTGAGTTGATGGATGTGTATTGTTTTAATCTGCTAAAATTTTCATGAGCAATAGCTAACTGATACACCCTGGGTGCCACATAGCCTATCCCCCTGGATGAAAACCTACACCACAGCCATGGCTCAGCCATTCCAAGCACAAAGAGTTCACTCTATGGAGACATTTGTTTTGTAAGGATGCACATTCTAAACGTTTACCAACGTTGAGTCTTTGAGTTAAATTTAAAAGCTTAAACTATTATAAATAGTAACTTGAATTACAATCTAACATTTGAATTTCAGTCACTACACAGCACAGGGAAGCAGAGCAGTGCAGCAGTTAAGAGACAAACCTGAGAGCCTGGATTCAACTGCTGCTGTGCACCTCAGGCAGGTCACTTAACCTCTCTGGGCTCCAGTTTACTAACTCATAAATTTGGGCTATTAATAGAACATACTCCCAGGATGGTGGTAGGCTAAGTGAGTTAAGCCACATAAAACACCTAGGCCAATGCTGCCTTGTAGAACTTTCTGCAGTGATGAACATGTGGCTATTGAGCCTTAAAATGTGGTTTAGTATGACTGAGGAAGAGAATCCTATAAAATAAAAGGCTAATATGCAAATCTACCAAATGTTGAAACAACCAGTCGCTATGATGTGCACTGACCACCAGAGGGCAGACGCTCAATGCAGGAGCTGTCCCCTGGTGGTCAGTGTGCTTCCCCTGTGGGAGCTCTGCTCAGCCACAAGCCAGGCTCACTGCTCTTTAGTGCTGCCTCGGAGGCAGGAGAAGCTCCCGGCACCACCCCTGTGCTAAGAAGCCGGGCTTACAGCTGGTGAACACAGCGACGGTGGCAGGAGCCTCTCCTGCTTCCACTCCAGGTGGGCGGTGAGGAGTGAGGGGTCCCAGACTGCAAGAGAGGGATGTCTGACTGCCAGGTTAGACACGATCCCACACAAGGGGTCCTGGACTGCATGCGAGAGGGCACGAATTTTGTGCACAGGGCCTCTAGTTTATAATAATTTAAATTAAATAGCCACATGTAGCTAATGCCTACTGTATTAGATGACACAGGCTTAAAACAATACTTGGTAAATAGTAAGTGCTTAATTAATGCTTGAAAGGAATATTATCCTCCAGAGCGTCAATTTACACCTCATCAGCTTGGAGGCACCCCAGGTATCCTCCTAACATCCCAATCTGATCATGCCCTTCCCCTGCTCAAAGCCCTTCTGTGGTTCCCCCTCGCCCTAAGGTAATGTCCCAGGTTTGCTAATCTCCTTGTGGTCACAACTTTTGGCATGCTCTGGAATTACTCTTTCTTGCAGAGGTGAGTACTTTTATGTTCTTGTCCACCTCTCTCCTTGACAGAGGCCTCGGGAGGGACAAGGTCTGGCACACAGTTATGTACATGATCAGGAAAGGACTCTGTAATCTGGCCCCTATCACCTCTGCATCTGTTTCTTTGCCCAGTGCTGCAGTCTTAGCCAACTTGTCCAACCACCACACCATCTCAAGCTTGGGAGCCTTGGCCCAGGCTGTTCCTTCCACCCAGAAAACCCTGCTAGGCAGACTCAGACTCCTCCTCCCAGCTCATATCCCAGCTAGGTCTTGTTCTCTCTGTGGGTGCTAGAACAAGGCATGCCATGTCTCTGAGCCTCAGTTTCCCTAACCATAAAATGGGATGAATTACCAATAAGACACATGGTTTTGCAAAGTATTTGGCAGGATATGAAGTAGCTCATTAAATCGAGTGGTTAGTATGACTCCCACTAACTTCAAGAGGCTCAACTTGGGTGTGGCTATCTCCACTATTCACACCCCCATCCAAGGCCCTCCTCTGGAGTCGCATGTCCTCACCCCATGTGTCAGGATTTTTTTTTTTTTTGAGGCCTCCACTGGGCAGGAGCCAAAGCCACATCATCTCTCTGGTCTTATCTCCTTCAGTCATCACTTCCTCAGGGCACTTCTGGGTCTGGTTACAGGTTCAACTGGGGACTTTCTCCCTCAACATTCCAATTCAAAATCATTGTATAACAGTGCTGACAAGGGTGCAGAGAAACTGGAACCCATACACACTGCTGGTGGGTATATAAAATGGGGCCGTTGTCATGGAAAATGGTTGGGTGGTTCCTCAAAGAGTGAAACACAGAATTACCACATGACCCAGCAATTCTGCTCATAAATATCTATCCAAGAGAACTGAAACAGGTGTTCAAACAAAAACGTATACATGTATCGTGGAACTATTTACAATAGCCCGAGGCTGGCAACAACCCAAATGTCCATTGATGGATGAACGGATGCACAAGATGTGGTCCATCCACACTGAAGTATTGCTCAGCCATGAAAAGGAAAAAGGCGCTGACACTCACTACAACATAGATGGACCTTGAACACATGACGCTCAGTGAGAGAAGCCAGGCACAAAAGGCCACACAGTGGGATTCCATTTTTGTGGAATGTCCAGAATAGCAAATCCAGAGATAATGAATTAGTGGTTGCTAGGGGCTGGGGAATGACTGCTAAGGGAGATGAAATTGCTTTTGGGGTGCTGGAATGATCTGGAATTAGACAGAGGTGATGGCTGCAACATCTTGTGAATGTACTGAATTGTACACTTCAAAATGATAAAAATTGTGAATTTTAGGTCATGTGAATTTTACCCTAATTTTAAAAAATGTGTTGTACTGTATAGTCCTGGCTGGTGTTGCTAAGTGATTAGAGCATTGGTCTGAGCACTGACGGGTCCTGGGTTTGATTCCTAGTCAAGGGCACATACGTGGGTTGCAGGTTCGATTCCTGGCCCCAGTTGGGGTATGCGCAGGAGGCAACCAATGGATATGTCTGTCACATCAATGTTTCTCTCCCCCTCCCTCCCTCCCTTCCACTCCCTCTAAAAATAAGCAATGGAAAAAATACCCTTGAATGAGAATTAACAAAACAAAAAAAGTGTGTTGTATAGTCTCCTCTCCTGGGCTGCCTCCGTGAGGGCAGAGACTACAGCCCTCTGGTCACTGCTGTGTCTGAAGCGACCAGCGAAGAGACAGATGTGCAGTGAGTGTTCAAGAGACATGTGTGGGCGGACTGAATGAATGCGGGAATCAAGCGACACAGGCACCTGCTCTTCCATTTCCTCCAGTTCTGGATGGAGTAGGTGAAATCTTGGCTATGGGAACTTCAGACCTGCCTTCTTGGATTATCTCCTCCTGCATCTCCCAACTCTAAATCTGAATTTTTCTCTAGCCCAGGACCTCAATGGGGCCAGAGGCACTTGGTCTTTATTGACACGAAAGGGCAAATAAGGACTCAGTCCTTTAGCAAGTAAAACTTTTATTAAATAAACTTTCAGTTTTTCCAGACCAAAGAGAGGTGTTTTGGACATAAAGATGATGCTTGTAGCTTCTCACCTGAAACACACCACAGTAACAAGGACCTCTCTAGCCACAGAATTGGTCAGCCCAGAGTTTCTTCTAAGTCCTTTTCTTGCCTTGTTTGTGTGTGTGTGTGTGTGTGAATGTGTGTGTGTGTCGGTTTGTTTCCAAAAGTTGGTTTGCAAGTTGAAACTTCATGAAATTACTAGTAGCAGAAATAAAGTACATTGTACAAATCATGTAGATCTTCGGTGTGGAGTATAAAAATGGTATTTACAGCCAGTAAACATGGATCAGGACACACACCACTGCACGCCAGGCCTGGCGGGAGCTTGGTGGGCACCGGAGACGCAGATGAGGCCCCCTCTTGGCCCCTGAGCACACGCTTGCACACGCAGACGCACGGGATACAGGCACACTAGAGAATGTCTTGAAACAATTATCAAACTCTGGAATATCGAAACAAGTTGGTCCGAAGATTTTTTTTTTCTTTTCCAAGAAGTTTATAAGAAGTTTTTTCTTTTCCTTTTTTTTTTTTTTTTTTTTTTTTACTATGTGTTTTTCTTTTCTTTTTTTCTGGGTTGGTCAACACATTTTGGTAGAAACAAAAGGGAATGCTGTGGGTTTTTCTTTTTTCCAAAAATTCTTTTTCTTGAGCTTATTAAGTTCTCTGGTACCTCGTTTGGCAATAGGCTCCACTGGACGACCAAACGAACTTGACTCTGTGCTTCAAGGTGGGTTTTCATGGTTTGGGTAGGTATAGAGAGGCACCCCACAGGATCTCCCTCCCAGCCCCAGCTAGGAAACAAAAATCCATTGTTTGATTCCCCCCACCCCCATTTTTCTTCTCTTTACTTCTTTGTACCTGCTCAGAAAGATCAACGTTAAAAAAAAATTCTTTGAAGAGGTATCTTCGGCAAAGGGATGCTTGGCCAGTGCAGGTTGGGCTTGTCCAACGAGCGTGGCAATCTTGGTTATGAGACCGTGAATTCCAGGCTGGTGATCCGAAGGCAGGGAGGGCTGGCTGCCTGCCCTTGGGGGGGGTAGGAGGAGAGGGGCTCCCACCGACCCCATCTACCCCTGACGGAAAGCTAAGGGCTATTGGTCACATGAGTAAGGCTATGACTGGGGGGAAAGGGCTGAGGGAGGCCAGGGGCTCTCTTTTGTGCTGGGGAAGGCAGGGCCCTGGGAAAAGGGAGGGAAGTTCGGGGTCCCGGAAGCTGCAGCTAGGACCAGGGACACTCAAGCCGGCTGAGCCCATAGGCCCGAGAGAATCGTCGGTGGCAGCGGCCAAAAGTCCTGGAGGTATATCGGTTGGCTGATGACTCCCAGTGCTTCTCGGGCACCCTGGTCTGACAATACAGCCGGGAGGTGAGGAGACACGGGGCTGTCCGGCCAGCCTCAGCCCTTCTTATGTCCCTGCTGAGTGACCAGCCTAGGGTCACCTTCTCTTGGGTGGAAGGAAGTCAGAAAAGTTTGGTCCCATGATCTACACTCAAAAAATATATATACTGTCTATAGCTCTCTCTATATATATGCATATATATATATAGAAAAAGTGGTGATTTAGTTTGGGGAAGCCACCAAGGTTGTGGGGGGTGAGGAGCCAGGAAATCTCCCAGGAGGAAGTGGTGAGCTCCTCAGCCCCCTGCCCTCTCAGCAGCGCTTCACATTTTGGGAAGGGGGCTCAGGGGAGACAGGAGAGGAGAGGGAGGGCTGGTGTCCAAACTCGGTTGTAATTTACGGAAAAGTCCTGGATCAGTTGGAAGCGGGGAAACCCTCCTGGGGTGGAAGGCCCCTCACCTGGTGGAGAAGGGAGGGCGTTAGGGAGCTCTGAGCCGGGCACAAAGGCAAAGGACCTCCCCTCCCATCCACTCCCTTGCCCTGGCCAGGCTGGGGTCTAGAACCCCAAGATTCCTCATCTTTTCAGAAAGAGTCCATTTTGGAGTTTGGAGGCTGACAAACCTGGCTTGGAACAGAGTTAGGGTAACCAAGTGCATGTCCTTATCTGGCAACTTGGGACAAATATTCCTGTTCATTTGTGTCTCCTCTCCCCTGCTGCCTGCCACTGGAGCACCAGGAAGGCAATTTCTCCCCTCCCCCTCACCCACCCCCAAGGTTCTGTTCATGCGAAGCAGTGTCCCCAAACACTGGAAACAGTGCCGAGCACATAGTAGGTGCTCAGGAAAGATGTGCTATCCCAGCATGTTAAAAGTGTGTGGGTTGCCTGTGAGTTGGTTTCCAAACGTGTCAGGTTTCCAAATGGGAGCTCCAAGATGCAGGATTCTGACTGCACACCCTCAAATCTGTGGGTGCAGACCTGACCGGGTCTGAAAGTTACCTCCATCCCCTGAGCACCTACTTTACACCAGACCCCAGGCAAGGCTTTCTGATGACGGCAATGGTGATTAAAAAAGAAAAAAAAAAGGAATTATCAAGAATTTACAGGTGGTGGATCCCGGGCTCAACTGGGAAAACACTGCATCCCCTGTGTGAGTCCTTCCTACTGCCTCTAGGGGAGGTGCTTTTATGAGCCCATTTCACAGATGAGGCTCATGGAAGCTTGAGGTCAGTAGTTAGTTTCCTCATTGATCCCTTAGGCTCACTATTCATTCCCTAAAAAAGGTAATGAGTTGATGAAATTGTTTGCTCTGATGTCAAGTCAAAATATACTCTTGGGGATTTGTTTGGGGGGACATTTTTTCTGGCATGGGGGGCGGGGCAAAATCCCACCTTCCCATCAACCCATTGGGTATGAACTATACCAAATAGAGGAGCTGAGAGAGGGACCCAGCTGGGAGTCATAGGACAGGAGAGAAGCCCATCCCCACAACACTCCCCACCCCATTCCCAACATGGCCCCTCAGGCAAATTTCTATTTATCCTCCAAAGCGTTCTCCAGGAAGGATTCCGAACCACCCTTGGTGCGCACTGGCTTCCCCCACTTCCCCAACCCAATCCTACCCTCCCACGACAGGGATTGGGAGTGTCTTCATCCAGCTCCGTCCCTTACAATCCAACCTGGGGGCCCCTTAGCAACCTCACCCCCCTAGCCACAGTCCCACCCCCAGGCCGGGAGAGGATTTGGGGAATAGGGAGGGTGCAGAAAACGCGGGGCAGGGTTGGGGCGGGTGGGGCCGCCTGGCGGCTCACCTGGGCCAAGCCCACAGCCTCCGGGCGGCTGTGGGCGTGGTCAGTAGGGGTGTCCCGGATCTTTGGGCCGCTTCAGCTGCACTTTCAGCCTCTTCATGCCAATCTGAAAGCCATTCATGGCCTGGATGGCAGTCTGCGCGCTGGCGGGGTTGTCAAAGCTCACGAAGCCTGCAGAGACCGGGGTGGACCCGCGATGGTGGGCAACGTGGGCGTCTTCCACTCGGCTTCCTGGCTCGTGGGGTCCTAGGGGCGGGGTGTGCGCTCGCAGGGGCAGGCAGCCGGCGGAGGTGGCAGGGCTTGCCAGAGGACACACAGCACCCCTGGCCTGGACTGCATGCCTCGGGGGATGGGACACTCATTCCTTACCTGGGGTTTGCTCTGCGGAGACTTCCTATGTGGAGTTGGGGACAGGTGGGACCTACCTCTGGGGTCCAGGTCCTCCCTCCCACCAGGATGCCTCGTCTGGGCCCTGATGCTAGTTAGCCCTTGGCCTCCTCTGAGACCTCTACTCATCTGCGATCTTGTCTGTCCTTATGACTGTGTGTGCTTCTTTGTCTTCTTTTTCCATCTCTCCCTTCTTCTCTCTCTTTGTCTGTCAGTCTTTCTACTCCTAGTTTCCCCCAAGACCATCAGAAATATTTAAGCCTCCCCCTGCTTAAACTGCCACCAGCCAAAACTCCCTCCATCTGCCAGCTCAAGGCTGCCTGGCCCTACTCCGGCCCCTCACTTCTTGGTCATCACAGGGACCATGTGCAGCACAGAGGCCAGGGACCCTCGGGGGAGGGAACCACACAAGCATTTGGAGATGAGGTCACCCGAGCTGTGTGAAAGGCCAAGTGGGAGGTCGGGCACAGAGATTGGGCTCAGGGTTGAAGGGTCTTGCGGAGGCCCATGGGGAGCCACGGGGAATTTAGAGTTGAGGGATTAACATCATTGTATTTATCTCTGTTAAGTCCCCTCATTATATAGATGAGAAAACTGAGGCTCAGAGAGTGCATATGAGCCCCCTGATGGTTGAAAGTGATTGGGTGGGTTTTCCTCCCGAAATTTCCTCTTCCTTCTGGACACAGGTTACAAAAAAGGGGGCTTGGGCACTAGTGGGAGTTCCGTACTTGCTGTGTGACTTCAAGTGTGTCACCTGACCATTTCGTTCCTCTCTTTTCTCCCTCAGTAAATTGGGACAATTCTTCCCTTTTATGGTTGGATACTGAGTATATACAGAAGGCACTTAACAAACAGTCAAGAATTAGCTCTTCAAAGAGGACGGGGTGGGGTTACCAGTCCAGATTTTGTAGTCAAACAGACTAGTTCTATCTAGGTTCTGCCTCTTTGCAGCTGTGTGATTTGAACAAGTGTCAGTGCCTCTCTGAGCCCTAATTTCCTCTGTTTCTGGGGACAAAGATGATCTGTCCCCCACCTGCCCTTACCTCCTCCCTCTCTCCCCATCGTTCACTCTGTTCCATCCACACAGGCCTCCTCGCTGTTCCTCCAACACACATGGCCCAGCCCCGGGGCCTTTGCACATGCTGTTGCCTCTTCCTAGAACACTCTTCCTACAGATTTCCCCATGCTGGCTCATCATCAGTCAGCTCTATCTTTCTTCATACTATTTATAATTCCCTGGCCTATATCCTATGATTCCTTATTTCCATCTCCTCCCCCTAAATCTGTGCTAATTTGGTAGCCACTGGCTCTTGTGGTTATTTTAATTTAAATTAATTTAAATTAAATACAATTAAGCATTTAGTCCTTTGGTCACACTGGGCACATTTCAAGTGCTTGGTAGTCACATGGGCTGATGGCTCAGACAGACCGGATGTAGAACATTCCGTCATCACAGGAAGCTCTGTCGGACGGTGCGGGAAGGCTGTGAGCTTTCTCGGGGTAGGGCTTTGTGGGCTTCTTTCACTGCTATGTGCCCGGTGCCAAGCACAGAACCTGGCACACAGCAGGGACACAATGTATGTATGTACTGAATGAATGAATGAACGAGTGAATCTTAGAAAGAATGCATGGCAAGTGTCCCGCAAACAGTAGGTGCTTAGTAAGTGTTCACTCTGATTATGAATGCGATTCTTTTGGACCAGGCTTGTCTCAGGGATGACCAACCTCTCCCACCCCACCCCCATCCCCTGTTCCAGGGCCAGGGGAGTGGGACAGGCTGGCCAACAGGAAGGGGCAGCCTCCACAGGTACTCACCAAAACATTTGCTCTGGTTGGTGGCCCGATCCATAAACACCTTGGAGGAGATGATATTGCCGAAGGGCAGGAACATCTGCGTCAGCTCCGTGTCTCCAAACTCCTGGGGGAGGTGGTAGATAAACAGGTTACAGCCTTCGGGACCTGCAGGTAGGGGAGAGAAAGACATAAAGCCCCCAAGGAGAGGAGGCGGAGCCCCCCCCAGGGGAAGGGCCCACATCTGGGCACCTCCAGCTGTCAGGAGAGAGGTGCTCCATGATACCCAGAAAGAAGGGATGTGAAACGGGGGGTAAGGAGATAGGGCATCCTGGTCCCTGCTCTATAATCCTACACACAGATACTCTAAACCTCTGATAGTCCTCAGGCCCCAGATAATTTACAAAATTCAGATGATTCTTACCCCTCTGCCCAAACCAAGATAAATAACAGGAATTCCAAAATCCAGGAAAATCCCTAAACCTCAAACTCCAGATTATTTACAAAAGTCAGGTTAACTAGGTGTAGATATATGGAAACTATAATCTATCTTTTCAATTATTCTGTAAGCCTAAAACTGGTGCTAAAATAAAATGATGATGTGGTTTTTTTAAAGTACGATGATTGCCCTGGCCAGTGTGGCTCAGTTGGTTGGAACGTCATGCTGTGCACCAGAAGGTCTCAGGTTCAATTCTTGGTCAGGGACCTTGATTGGGGTGCGTACAGGAGGCAACTGATTGATGTATCTCTCACATCCATGTTTCTTTCTCTCTCTCTCTCTCTCTCTCTCTCTCTCTCTCTCTCTCTCTCTCTCCCTTCCTCTAAAATCAATTTTAAAAAACAGTAATAGCCCCAGCAGGTGTGGTTCAGTGGATAGAACATCGGCCCTTGGAACGAAGGGTCCTGGGTTTGATTCTGGTCAAGGGCGTGTACCTTTGTTGCAGGCTTGATCCCTGGCCCCAGTCAGGTCGCATGCAGGAGGCAGCCACTGGATGTGTCTCTCTCACATCAATGTTTCTCTCTCTGTCTCTCCTCCTCCCTTCTACTCTCTCTAAAAATCAATGGAAAAAATACCCTCAGGCGAGGATTAACAAAAGAAAACAAAAAAAGCAATAAAAGTCCGATGATCACAGAATAAAACAAGAAAAGTATTCTCTGACCCAAAACCCAAATATCCAGATATATTTTCCAAACGCCTTGGATAATTCTCCTAACTTTGGATACTTTCCAAAACTCAGATGATGCAAAAATAAAATCAAGTAAACTAAAGAGAACTCTCCAGTCCTGAATCCCAGATATCCTGAAACCACAAATAATTTTTAAATATATTTTTATAGATTTTAGAGAGGAAGGGAGAGGTAGAGAGAGATTGAAACATCACTAATTAGCCATTGATCAGCTGCCTCCTGCATGCCCCACACTGGGGATTGAGCCTGCAACCAAGGCATATGCCTAACTGGGAATCTAACCTCGACCTTCTGGTTCATAGGCTGACGCTCAACACTGGCTGGGCTCCCACAAATAATTTTAAAATGGTAGACTATACCAACCAGAAATATTTTAATTAATTAATTAATTTATTTATTTTTGTTAATCCTTGCCTCAGGATTTTTCCATTGATATTTAGAGAGAATGGAAGGTAGGGAAGAGGGGAAAGAGAGAGAGAGAGAAACATTGATATGAGAGACACATCGATTGGTTGCCTCCCACACAAGGCCAGACCAGGGCCTGGGATTGACTTGCAAACCCAGGTATGTACCCTTGACCGGGAATCTAACCAGAGACCCTTTGGTGCGTGGGCAGACACTCCACCACTGAGCCACACTGGCCAGGGCAGAAATATTTTTTTAAAAACATGGCTAACCCTCAAAATCATCCTTTCCCCATATAATCCCCAATGCATGGTTTATACACAAACTATAAATAATACCATTTAAAAACCCAATTAACTTGGGGTGGTGAACACACAATACACAGATGTTTTATAGAATTGTTCACCTGAAATATATATAATTTTATTAACTAATGTCACCCCAATAAATTCAATAAAAAAGAAAAGAAAGTAAATAAAAATCTGATTATCTGAAGCCAAACCTGCTCCCATGCTCCCCAAAACAAAGGTAGTGATCAAACTACCAAGAATTGCTTTTACCCTCGCAATGAATATTCCCCACCCCAGAAAATACAAAATCCAAGACCACACAATCACATCCAACCCCTACCTTTCTGATTAGAACCACGGTTCTGCTACAATGCTTGCTTTTATTTATTTATTGTTTGCATTTTTATTTATTATTATTATTATCTAAATCTTTATTGTTGAAAGTGTTACATATGTCCATTTTTGTCCCCCACCACTTCTGTTTACTTCTTAAATACTGCCATTACAATAGTGCGCCCATGATGCATATATGAATACAAGGTCTTTGGTTGTATAAAATGCAAGTGTGTTCCAATGTGACTGATATGTTACGGGACAATTATGAGCATAGCACAAATCCTGTGTTTGCTTATAGGCCCTCTCGTCGCCAGGAAACACTAGGTGAATGCAGAAACCCGGGCCCAGATGAACCCAGCCTCATGAGAAAACAAAACTCGCGCTCACACACAGGCTCTACCACCCACCAACTTTCTCCGCCCCGCAAGTGTGTGAGGAGCCATACCTGTCCCCCCCGCCCCCGAGGCTACGACTGTCTCATTTCCGACAACCCTGTTTCCGTTAGTTCACTGCCCCTCACATGCAGCTGCCCTTCCCAGGCCACTTCCACGTGCACATTTCGGCTCTTTCCAAGATAAAGTGCCACCACATTGCAGTATCATGTATTTCTTGGCCATCTGACATTGATACAACTGTGTTATCGGTTTATTGGGGTCCTGTCTTTGTTTATTGACGTGTCTGCGGGCCAGGCTCCCCTTGCCTTGGGGAGAGACCTGGCTTTCCTGGGCGGCCACTTCCCCAGCCTCCCCGCGCCCCCAGAACCCGCTGGATGAACCAGAGGGTCTCCCCGGGCCGAGCGGCCCCTGCAGGCTCGCACCTCTTGGCACCAACAGTCGCCTGTGTTAGAGAGGAGGAAACTGAGGCCCAGGGTGGTGAGGTACCTTCCTTTTGTCACGGGTCAGAACCGGGTGGGTCTGAATTCCGGTTGTCCGAGTCCAGAACCTAACTCTGGCACCGTCGACTTTACTGGGAGCTCCAGTTTAGCCGAAATACCGCACCCCCTTTTCCCAACCTCACAATGAGCTTCCTCTCCAAAAATTCAGAGAATCATTCAGGTTTGGAGAGGGCACCTCTATGCCTACGGGGTCGAGCTAGCAGGGTTCGGAGAGGGGGCGCCAGTGCCCCCCCAAACTCCCAGGGACGGCACAGGACTTGAACCCCGGCCTCTCCGTCCCCTGGGCCGAGCTCTCAGCCGCGCGGTTCCCCGAGGCCTGGCCAGGGGTGGGTCCTGCAGGCGATGGGGGCGGTCAGAGGGCGGGGCTGGCGCCCGCAGGAAGTCGCGGCCCCCTCACCTTCTCGCTGCTGCTGCTGCTGGAGGAGCGGCGGCGGCTGCGGGATGCTGTGCGCGATGGGCGCGATGGCCGCGGTGGGGTACATGGCTGTGGAGACCCGGAGCGGAAGCCGCGTGAGGCCGGCGGGCGCCCGGCGTGAGCGGGCCGAGGCTAGTTCTAGGGGCGGGGCCTAGGCTGAGGGCGGGGCCAATAGTGGGTCTTGGGCAGGAGGAGGGGCGGGGCCACAACGAAGAGCCGGCCTAGGGGTGGGGCCCAGGCAACAGAGCAGCCCGGACTTGAGAGGCGTGGACACGGGTTAGGGGCGGGACCAAGGCAGGATCTGAGGGGCGGGACCAGCAGGGCAAAGAGCTGGGATTGGGCCACGGCCAGAAGTAGGAAGAAAGATTAGAGAAGGAAAGAGGAAGGGCCGAGCCCTGGGGGCGGGGCTTCTATGGGCGGGCTTCCTGCGGGGCAGGCCGGCGTGCCTCCCTACCTGTGTACTGCTGGACTCCGGAGAAGGCAGGATGGAGGGTCTCAGCCATGGTCGGGCTCTGAGCTGCGGGCAGACGGAGGGGCTGAGTGGGGCGGGAGCAACATAAGACTTCTACCCACCCCCAATTCTTAAGCGCGGAAAAGAGAGCAACAGACATCCGCCCCAGCTTCGCCTCTGCGTAAACAGTGCACAGGTATCCTTCCCATTTTACAGGTGGAGAAACTGAGGCTCAAAGAGGTGAAGTAACTGGCACAGGGCCACTTAGATCGGAAATGGCAGAAGCCGAACTGGAATCCAGGTTTCTGGGACTCCAGAGAGGTGGACACATGACTCCCATCTCTCTCTCTCCCTATCCTGGCCCCCTCCCGCCTTCCTTTTATTCTCTATATTGTCCAGGACTCTGCTCCAGACCACCACTCACCCCTATCACTTCCTCTCTCTCACTGCCTACACCTCATTGGCAGTCACCCCATGGGCCCCTATGTGGCTATGACTTTCCCAATGGCCCTCGTGGAGGAGTTAAGAGAGGTGAGTTTGTCCAGGCCACCAGAGCTGGTGAATCGAGAAAATTTAGCCAAAAGATTCCGTTTGAATGGAGAGAGGTTACTAGAGGATGGAACAGTGTGTGTGTGTGGGGGGGTTGACTGTAAAGGGGTTGCATAAGTGAATTACTTTGTAAAGCTGGAACAGTTCTGTATCTTGATTGTGATGGTGGTTACATGAATCTATACCTGTGATAAAATGGTATAGAAACACACACACAAGTGCATGTACAAAGCAGTGAAATCTGAATAAGTTCTCCTACTCCAGTTGAGTTCACTGTACACACCAATGTCAGTTTCCTGGTTTTGACAATGTCCCTGTGATTATCTATGATGTTAGCATTGGAGGAAGCTGGGTGAGGGTTACACGGGACTTCTGTGTATTATTTTGGTAACTCCCTGTTAGCCTCAATCATTTCAAAATAAAAATAAATCCTATTTAATGGAGTGAACACAGATGACTTACTTCACTTCAGCAAGGCGTTGGAACATGTTTGCCTTGAAATCATGGTATAGTGGGAAAAGTGGGACCTCTGCTTCATGAGGGCAGAGCCCAGCTCAAATCAGTGCATGGTCAATATTGAGTGAGTGAATGAGTGAATGAGTGAATGAATCCTGGTACTGATATCTTTCCAAATAGTAACAATTAATAATTAAGATTGATGGTGCCATTCTTAGTACTAGGTGATGTGTTAATCATTTTTTCATACTGATTTCATTGTCCGTGCAACCTCATGAGGTGACTGATGTTATCTGCCCCATTTCACAGATGAGCAAATTGACACTCAGAGACTTAAAGGAATCACCCAAGGGCCACCAAATCTGAATATGAACCCAGAAATGTCTGGGTGCAAATTTCCTATGTTTACCCTTTTTCTCTGTGCCCCCAGCACATATCTGCTCAGCTGAGACTCCCATTGCTCTGCCTCTCTGTTCCATGGGGCATCAAGACACAGGAAATTATGCTTGTCCTAGAGACACCGTCCTGCCCCCTCATGCTCTCCTAGGCCCTGGGGAACCACCCAAGTTACCTGGGTAGGGCATGAGGCCATTGGCATATACAGTCTCTAGGGCAGGGTGCCCACCAGGGAAGGGCACGACACCTGCAAAGCTGTTGGTGATGGGAGCCATGAGGCCGGGCACGGCGGCAGTGCTGAGCAGTGGGGGCGAGTGCAGTCCTGCAGAGCAGAAAAACATCATGAGGAGCCTGGGCCTGGTTCTGGCCCTGCCCACCCGTCCTTGGGCCTCTGGTGGACTCTCACCAGAGGCAGGGGCGATGGGTGTGGCAGGCAGCCCATTAAGGCTGACGGCGCCGATCTGCTGGATGTGGCAGGGTGAGAAGGCCACGCCAGGGCTCAGGTAGCTGCCTGAGGTGGACAGGACCGTTGTCTGCTGCTGCATGAGCTGGGGGTGGAGAGGGAGTCAAGATGCACAGTCAGGGTGGCACCTGCCCTGAGGTCATAGGTCCCAGGGGGAGGCCTGGTCCTCCAGTAGCTAGGGGAGTCAGGCTGGATATCTTGGCTTAGGCGAGGGTCAGGGATCAGTCAGGAAATGGGGCTCAGCCTTGGATCAGGGCTCATAGGAATCATGGTTAATCCAGGGATCTGGGTCCAGTCAAGAATGTGGTCTTGATGTAGGATCAGGGATCAGCCAACACTAACTCAGCCAACACTTAACACTTAACTGAGACTTAGAGGCTCAGTCTGGGTTTGGTCTCTGTTCAGGGTTGAAGCTTGACCTGAATTATTTGGGGGCTGAGCATGGGGTCATGTCAGTCCAGGTAGAAGTTCAGCTTGAGCTCAGGGCTCAGGGCTCAGTTTATGGCTGGGGGCTCAGCTAGGTGTGGGGGTTGGGAATCAGCCTGGATTTGTGGGCTCAGCCATGGCCAGAATAGGACCCTGAGTCAGAGAGACTAGGCAAGAGACAGAAAGATGGGCAGAGAGCCTGGCCGGTGTGGCTCAGTGGTTGAGCATTGACCTATGAATCAGGAGGTTGCAGTCTTGATCCCCAGTAGGGGGCATGCAGGAGGCAGCCAATTAATGATTCTCATCATTGATGTTTCTATCTCTCTCTCCATCTCCCTTTCTCTCTGAAATCAATAAAAATATATTTAAAATAAAAAAATAAAATAAAAATGGGCAGAGAGGTCAAACCCCTCAACAGAGACTTAGATGGAGAGAGAGAGATTGAGCTGGATCCGCAGAGTAGTCTTGGAAGTCCCACTGGAGACAAAGGCCTGTTTGTTGGGGTCACTCACGGCCTGCGCATAGGCACTGTAGGGGCTGAAGGGCAGGGTGAGGGACGGTGTCAGGATGCCCAGCTGGCCCACCATCTGCTGCATGCGCCGTAGTGTTCGCTCCTTGTCTGTGTCGGCAAACTTGACCACCAGGCTGGAGGAGGCACCCTGCGGGAGCAGCCACAAGCAGGAAGGAAAGAAAGGAGGGAGGTAACCAGGAATCTGGGGTCCCCAGACCCACACCTGCTCAGGTGAGGGCTACAGATAGCGACAGCTGTTGGCCCTGTCCACGAGCCCCTGCTGCAGACTTTGGGCACCACAGGGAGACAACCCGAAGATCAGAGTCCTGGGTCTTGCAATTGATGATGCAGCCACCCCTGCACACTGGTGAGGCATCTGGGCCCAGGGGGGCTGTGTCTGGGATACAGTGGAGAACCCTGACTCTCAGGCACACTCCCCCAAACAGGAGGAGCCCTGGCCAGCGTGACTCAGTTGTTTGGATGTTGTCCCATGCACCAGAGGTTTCTGGTTTGATTCCTATTGGGGCACATGCATGGGTTACAGGCTCTCTGGTAGGGGGCATGCAGGAGACAGCCAATCAGTGTTTCTCCCTTTCTCTAAAAATCAATAACAAATCTTAAAACACACACACACACACACATGCACACACACACACACACAGAAAGAGAATCCTGCTGGAGAGGAACATGGCGGCCTGGGTGGAGGACCTGAGAACGGGTGAGAGTCCGGTCACCAGAGAGGAATGGGGCACAGATGGATAACTCTGCAAATGGCACCTTGCACCTGAGAACAGGTTAGATTCCCACCATCAGAGAGGGTGGCAAGCCCCCTTTGATGGAGAGCTCACTCCGTTATGCCTGCCAGCCCATCGCTGGACAGCTCTGATAGGAGGAAGCCTGTCTGGTGATGAGCAACATCCTGCCTGTCCAGGCAGTAAACTGGCTCCTGCTCTTCTGAGTCTGCCCTGCACGCCACACCCATGTTCAAGAACTGAGGCAAGTTGGTTCTCCAAGGCTGTCTTCCCCAGGGGATTTAGACACACACAGTGAAGATGGTTCCCAGAGCCTCCTTCCTGGGGGCCAGGGCCACCCCAGTGACCGGGTGGTCCTTCCCAGCCTCACACCACTGCTGACCCACAAGTTCCTGGCTCCAGTCTTGCCTCTGCTCACCCCTACTCTGTCCCCAAAGAGACATTTCCAACTAAACCGGACATCTTCCCTTCCCTGTCGAACCCCTCTGTGGCTCCCCATGGCCATAGGAGGAATCTGTGCGCCCCAGCCTTGAACTGCAGGCCCCTCTAGCCCATCCTCCCCAGCTCCTCAGCCCCCCCCCTTCCGATCCTGCCTTTGATTTTGTCACTCCCCACACCCTCATGTCCCCCTGCTGGCCTCGGCAAACCCCATCCACCCTCAGGTCTCACCCCTCCTGTATACTCACCACATATACACGTGCTCACACACATTCACTCACCGTGTACGCTCAGAGTCATGCACAGCACTCACATACACATGCTCACCATGCATACTCACACATACTTGCACAATGCATCCACATACACATGCACAAAATCCCACATGTACACACATGTACTTATCCACACACATATTCACAAACCCTCACACACACACCTACAGAGGCACATGCATGTACTTGTTCCCGCCACATCACCTGGGCATACTCATGCACTCAACATGCTTGCACACGTACTCACACAGACATGTATGCACTCTCACATGCTCTCTTAGACACACACACACACACACACACGCAGCCACACACTGGCAGTACATTCTTTCACACACGCCCATTCACACATATGTACAATCACACAGACACAGACACCCATTCACATCATTACCAGAACTGCCTCCTTTTCCACCTATGCCCACTATGAAGAAGAACCAAGGACGACCAGGTGGCTGGGATGGTAGGAACAGGGCCCCCTTACCCCTTTCCCATGCCCACCACCTTGGCCTCGGGCAGCTCCTACTCACCGGCATGGTCTGGCTGCCATGGAGGGCGTGGATTGCCGCCTGAGCCTCCGTGTGGGAGGAGAACTTCACGAAGGCACAGCCTGCTCCAAGAGAAGAACAGGGAAGAGGCAATGGGGTATTTCTGGGTAGGCAGGACCACCGAAGCGGGGCTGGAGACCCTGGATAGCCAGTCAGCAACAGACACATGCAGCCAGAAAGTCAGACAGAGCCAGCCACTTGCTCAGACAGAGAGCTGGACAATGAAGGATGAGACAGTCAGAGAAGCACACAGCCAGCCATGGAGTTAGACAGTCAGCCAGTCGGCCATCCATTTAATCAGAAAGCCAGCCAGCCAGATAGCTGTTTGTCAAACCCACAATCAAGGGATGGGGACAGGCTTAGAGAACACCCACCAGCTACCAACACTAGGAGATCCAGAGTTGTAATCAGATGTGCAGAATTAAAGTGACAAACCATGAGGCACGGATGCAGAGAGATATGGTCCTGTGCACACCCAGGCAGAGATGCACTCAGACCCAGGTGGATCGATGCGTGTGACCAGAGTTGGAGAAATGGGGATAAGTCACCATACAAAGGCAGACCCAGCCGATCAATCACATGAGCAGAATCGGGTGGACAGACAGCCAGAAACCACCTGACACACGAAGACCCATACAGAAGTGGTCATTTGGATACCCGGCAGGAAGAGTCAGAGACAGAGGTGCAGGAGACGTGATACTCAGCCCTAGTCACATATACAGTCACATGGGCAGACAAGAAAACATGTCTGTGGAGGTCATTAAACAATCATTCCTAGAAGGTGCAGCCATATAGGAACGGGGGAGTACCTACACAGAACACAGGCAAATCCAGGTGCAAACAGTCCCATGGACAGAGTCAGGTGGAGACAGGCATCCCCAGATGGGAAGCTGGTAGGACCAGACTCCACCCACCCGCCCAAGTATCTGGCCCCGCCCGCCTCGGGTGCCGCCCTGCCCCCTGGTTCCCCAGCCCTGTCCCAGGGCAGCTCCAGCTCGGGCCTGTCACCTTTGCTGCTGCCGTCAGGCCCCCGGAGCACCGTGCACTCGTCTATGACCCCGAAGGGCTGGAACAGCCGCAGCACGTCCTCCTCTGATTGCTGCTTGTTCAGCATCCCCACAAACAGCTTCCGGTCCCCTGTGGGCGGAGACACCACTCAGACAAGTCCCGGCTTGAAAGCCTCCGGGAATTTCTCCCCTGGGCCCTCCAGTTCTGCGCGCGCCAAGGAGGGAACAGCCGGGCGCTGCCCTGCGTCTCCCACGTTCCTGCACGATCCCATCTTCATGCCTTTGCTCACGCAGTGTCCCCTCCCATACCGCCCCCCCCCCAGCCCCCCGCGCCGTCTGGAATCTCCTTCCTTCAATCCTTCGGTGCGTCTGCACCACTGCTCCCACTTCCCAGTAAAGATGGTCTCTCCCTCCCGTGGTCTCAGAGAGCCCACACAGCACCAGGGTTAGGAACTACCTTGCCTGGCCTACGTCCCTGTCGCTCTCTCTGCCATTGAGATCCTACAGGGAGGGGTGAGCGCTGATGGCCTCTGCATGCTCCCCGTGCCCAGCAGAGCTCCCTGCTCAACCTTGCGGGGCTCAGGAGGGACTAGGCAACCGATGTCTGTTGAATGAGTGAGGCATGTGTGTGCACAGGACCAAGGGCCTGGGCAGCCTGCAGTCCCCAACAGGTGGAGCTGGAGTGGGGGCCTGGCTGGGACCTGCCCGAGTCTAAGGCCAGCGGTCAGTCTGGGCCAGCCTCTCCTGTGTGAGGCACCCGAGCCCTGGCCCCTGGGGTAGTTGTGCTGCTCCCCTGTAATCAGGGACAGCAGCAGCTTCCTCTCCCCTAGACAGTAAGATGGGTTACTATGGAGACCAGTTTTCTGGCAGCTGTCACTCATGGGGTGGGAGGGAGGGAGACACAGAAGCAGAGAGATTGCAAATCAGGAAGAGAAAGACATATGAGAGTGAAACAGAGATAAGCAAAGAGGCACAGAGAGCAGCAGAGAGAACCAGAGACAGGAAAGAAAAAGGCAAGGAGAGAGACAGAGATATGGGGGGAGAGGGAGCAAGAGAGAGGATACAGAGATGGAGACATGCAAACCCCAGCTCTCCAATCCCTGACCCACACTGGCGGCCTGAAAACAGGCTCCCAGCCCATATTGGCTTCATCAGGCTCTTACACATTTCAAGCTCCAGGCGTCCTAACAGCCCCGCCCACGCACCATCCCCCGGCTGGCTGTTCTCCCTCAGCCCCCAATCCACCTGAGATGGGGAGGAGGGACAAAAATCTCCAAGAATTTTTGAATCCCTCTGGGGACAGCCAAGCATCCCCCTCCCTGGGCACACCTCTGCCACACAGTCCAGCCCCTGCAGACACCAGGCCCCAACCTGCATGCCCACAGGCCCCCTGTTACAGTCAAGCACACACACTTGCACATACATGCCCACGCACAGGCTGGGTGTGCAGCGGTGCACGCACCCCCACTACACCAGCCTCAGAAACACACATGCATATGTGCACATACCTGCACCTGTCTGCACACAGGTGTGCCCAAGTATGCATGCTTATATACACAGACATACCCACTTGTCCAAACATGCAAACGTTCACACACACATACACACAACCCCCAAAATCAATCCAGGGCCCTTCAGGGACCCCATCCCCTCTGCGTCTGAAGATCCCCATTACTGATCTCTGAGAGGAATCAGGTATTTCAAGCTCCGGGGCAAGTAGCTGCACCAGGCCTGTGGCCCTGTGGTCGGGAAGAGGGGACAGCGGCCCTGCTTCCTGTCTCCATGCCGTTAGTGTGTGAGCAGGCAGGGCACTGCTGCAGCCTTTTGTGCAGGAAACTTCCCTTCTTCCCCCATCCCTCCACCAACCCCCAGCCTGGTGGTCACGGAGAGATGACAACTACCTCCACGACTTTCGCTGTCCGCAGGCTTCACCTGGATTGGCCGTGCCATCTGTGGGAAAAGGGGGTGGGGAGAGGTCCAGGTCAGCAGCTGGAGCAGCGTGGGTAGAAGCTCTGCCTGAGCCCTGCCAGGCAACCCTGCCTACCTCCCCGGCCTCGGCATCCCGCCAACCACCCGGCAGCAACTAACACTCCACTCAGACCAAATAATACATGGTCCCGCCCACAGGACTTGGCTCACACTGCCTGGAAAACTCTTACTTAGCCTTTAAAACCCAGTAACAATATCCCTTCCGCCAGGAAGCCTTCCTGCCTCCCCAAGTGCCATGAGCTGTTTGCAAAGATATCCCAACTCCGCCAGTCCCTGTATGTGACGTGACTTTGTGGTTCCTCTCCTTGAGAACTGTAATCTATCTTCCTTTTGTATCTGCACTTGGCCATGTGACTTGCTCTGACCAATGGAAGTGAAGTTGTGGGAGTTCCAACCTTGGCCTCAAGAGACCCTGCAGCTTCCACACTTGAGACACTGAGATTACCAAGTCATTCCAGGTCATGCTGGGGCAAACTATGGAGCAGGGGAGCCTTCATGCACAGAGAGGCCCCACTGACACAAAGCACATAGCAGGGAGGCCCTCCGGACCCAGCTTGCCCCAGTTAAGACCCAACTGATTGCAGCTGCATGAATGACCCCAGGAGAGACCAGCAGAAGAAGTCCCCAGCTGACACGTTGGGATTACCAACCCACAGAATCATGAACAAATAAAATGACTGGGGTGGGCCATAGCTGGTTTGGCTCAGTGGATAGAGCATCGGCCTATAGACTGAAGGGTCCCGGGTTCAATTCTGTCAGGGACACATGCCTGGGTTGTGGACTCAATCCCCAATAGGGGGCGTGCTGGAGGCAGCTGATCGATGGTTCTCTCTCATCATTGATGTTTCTCTCTCCCTCTCCCTTCCTTTCTGAAATCAATAAAAATACATTTTAAAAAATGATTGGGATGGTTTGTTCTCAGAAGTAGCTGACCAGTATACCAAGACTGCTACTTCTGTCCGCTCCCCAAGCCTTGGTGGGAGCACTGTCACACCTGAGCAGACCAGCCTGGATTCGTTGTTCTGGACTCTTCTATCCCCTCCCCCTGGCCCTGAAAATGATGTTCAACAGAAGAAATCCACCCCCCAGTTCCCACCCCCACACTTACCCAGGCACGGGTATGAGATAAGCTAATGTGAATATTTGACAACAGACTTGAGGGATGTAGGATGGGGGTGGCATTTACTTCTCCGCTGGTCCTAGGACAGAATCCTCTTCCCAACCTGGTATCTCTGGTGAACTCCTACTCATTCTTCAAATCCCAACTCAAAAGCCCCAAGCGGGCAATGCTTCCCCTCTCTGGGTTCCCTCCTCCTCTGCCTCAGGGTAGGACATGTCTAGTGTTGCTCTTCTTCCTCCAGACTGGGGACCACAGCATCACCCCACACAGGGCAGGGTACATGGGAGATTCAGAGGAG